AAGTTGGGGAAGGGTAAAGGAGGAGGTGGGGGCAGCAGCAGACTCCCGGCTGAGCAGGGAGCCCCATGTGGGGCTGGATCCCAGGACCCTGAGATCATGACCTGAGCCGAAGGCAGACACTTAACCAACTGGGCCACCCAGGAGCCCCTGCCGCTTTTTTTTTTAAGGCGGGAAGGGGCAGAGGGAGGGGGAGAGAGACAATCTTAAGCAGGCTCCACACCCAGCGTGAAACCCGACTTGGGGCTCTATCTCACAATCCTGAGATCATGACCTGAGCGGAAATCAAGTCGGACACTTAACTGAGCCACCGAGGCGCCCCTAATTTGCTTTTAAGTCGCACTTTATCTAGCCATCTTCCCAATGACAGACATCCAGCTTGCCTCCAGCTTGCAACAAACAGCCCTGTATACGTTCCCCTCAGTGCCTGTGTGAGACTTTCCCCGAGACATATATCCTGGAGGGGAATCGTGGGGTCACAGATAACACATACACGTGGCAAAATACTGCCAGATTACTCTTGACACAATCACTGTACGGTTTCCCTAACCTAGTTTCCCAGCCCTGGCACTACTGGAATTTTGGACCAAATTATTCTTTGTTGTGAGGGGCTGTCCTGTGCACATACGGTGTTGGCAGCATCTCTGGCCTCTACCCTCTAGAGGCCAACAGCATGCCCTCCCTCGGTTGTGATGATAAAAAAATGTCTCCCAACACTAGCAACTGCCCCCAGGGGGCAAAATCGCCCCCAGTTGAGAACCACTGCTCTATCTCGTTTCTGCCGACACTTGGCATTAGCCAGCTGTTTTTTTTTCCCCTGGTTACCTTTTCATATGTTTGATAGTTTGTAAAGATTTTCTCTAATGTTAATTCTCTGTTGAGGTTGCTGGCCTCTTGCTTTGCAGGAATGCCAGGTACCTTCTTGATGCTTCTTTATTGGAACTGACATAGCAGTGATCTCCCATCCTTCCAGCTCATTAACTCTCTCCACGGTGTGCTTTACTGACAGAAATCCTAATTTTCGTGTATGAGATTCATCAATATTTTGCTTTATGGTTTGGACTTTTGAACTTTTATTCAAGAAGTCCTTCCTTAGTCTGGGTCACAAGATATTTCCCTCTATTAGCTTTACACTTTTACCTTTTAGGCTGATAAGTTCATTAGAAAATTGCATATAAGCAGAGGATCAGACCAAAGAAAATGCTAGAAAAGCACCATGAGGGGCGCCTGGGTGGCTCTGTCGTGAAGCGTCTGCCTTCGGCTCGGGTCATGATCCCAGGGTCCTGGGATCGAGCCCCACATCGGGCTCCCTGCTCGGCGGGGAGTCTGCTTCTCCCTCTCCCACTCCCCTTGCTTGTGTTCCTGCTCTCACTGAGTCTCTGTCAAAAAAATAAATAAATAAAATCTTTTAAAAAAAAGCACCATGGGGCGCCTGGGTGGCTCAGTTGGTTAAGCGACTGCCTTCGGCTCAGGTCATGATCCCGGGGTCCTGGGATCGAGTCCCACATCGGGCTCCCGGCTCGGCAGGGAGCCTGCTTCTCCCTCTGACCTTTTCCCCTCTCATGCTGTTTCTCTCTCACTCGCTCTCTAATAAATAAATAAAATCTTTAAAAAAAAAAAAGCACCATGAATACCCCCACTCCACAACAGAGGGTATTCTTGCCACGCCCCCCCCCGACGCAGCATCTTCCTCCCTGGCTGCATAATGCACCCAGGTAGATTTTGCCTCTAGGTTGATGGCTCCTTCTTGCGTGGAAACTATGCATAGATATATGTGTGTATTTGTACCACATACTGAGAGACCATAAGTTGTTAAACCTATGAGCTTGGGAGCTATTCTGCCTCCTCTCATAATGTGTCAATACATTAATCCAAATGCTTGTGGTCTCAGAACCTTCCTCACAACCGCTGCACACCAGCAAGTCAGCAAGTACCATCACTTGCTCACCCAGGAATCTTCGGTGCCCAAGGCAGCAAGGTCCCACTGTGCAGGCTGAGAAGTTAGAAGTCTGTCAGTCTGAACCACCATTGTCCTGAGAGGTATTAGTTTTAAAAGCTTTTTTGATATGGAAAATTGACATCTACAAATTCCCTTCCATCCATGGCTGGTAACTTACCACCTGCACTTTAATGGATGGAACAGGACTGACCGGCCATACTTAAGCTTGTATTTCTTCCAAGAAAAATCCACTTCACCCAGATTCAAGGTGAAAGCTTTCAGGGAGATTGTATCTGCTCTTCTGAGTCAGTCACTAGATGCAATAAGCTTGTCTCTGGGAAGAAGTGCCCTCCAGGATCCGTCCCACCCCTCCTGCTGGGGCCCCGGGCACCTGGGCCACCACCCCCCCAAACCTGCATGGGGCGCAAAGTCAGGCCCACGCAGAGCAGGCTTCCAGAAGGTTTCACACTTGCTTAACTAGTACAAATCCTTCTCCTCTGTGCTCAACAGCAATCATCCTGATGGGCTTCCCGACTCCAGCAGAGGCCCCAAATAGACACACCTGGCATATTTTAAACGGCTTTATTAAAGGCTATTAATATAAAATACAACCAAGTTACAAGTCGTCAGTAAGAATGTTTCTTTTTTTTTTTTTGGAAAACGTGTATCAAAGAAAGGGAGGCGCAAAGAAAGGCAGGTGGCTCTGACATCCCCGTGGGGTGCACAGCGAGGGCTGGATGACAGACCCCAGCTGTCCCCAAGGGGGCAGCACTCCCAAACCCAGACAGCGGGGCAGGGACCCCCGAAGGAAAGAACTGAAACTGGTTTCTGACTTCCTGGGGGAGTTTGCAAAACACAGTCACCCAAAGTAAGACACTAAATCCTTGAGCTGAATCCCAGGTGCACAGAACGGGGGTGGGGTGGGGGAGACCCCCAAAACCAAATACAGGCTTCAGTTGAAAAGTGTGTATTTTTAAAAATAATAAATACAAACTTCTGGTTCTAGAAACTCTACCCTGATACACTGGCGGGGGGGGCGGGGGGAGTGAGGCAGCAAACCTAAGAGCTTCATTTGTCCGTACTTGGACACACCAAACACAGGCTCCCCAGAGGGCAGGGCCGGAACCATCTCTTACACAGACCTCGGGGTGAAGAGGATCTGCTGGTCAGGCAGGATGGACACCCACCACCAGCCTGTGTCCTCCAGCCCTTCACTTCTCCCTCGCACAGTCCCTTACTTCTGAAAGCAGGGCCAAGCAACACGACTCTAGGATTTCCCAAGTTTTGACTTTACATTTAATCTCAGGAGGCCCTCGGTTACGAAACCTTAAACGCTGTCCTGAGAGATAACCGACCACCTCTAGGGGAGGACCCCAGGTGACACCCGGGGAGGCAGACTTTCAACCATCCCCACACCCCCTCAGCTGCCAGAAGGACATGAAAGGAATAACTGGGCTTTATGAGAAAGTCGGCAAGAAATGAGAACCATCTCCCCGGAGAACAGGCAGATCACCTTGGGCTAACTGTTCCCGGATGTCGTTCAGTCCTCCCTGCTACCTCAGCACCAAGGAATACAAACTCACACCTGTACATCTCCCTCTCTTTTAAGAAACCCTGTTTTCAAGCACGGGTTCTAGAACAGCCCACTGCCCTCCAGGCTAAAAGGGGGGGCAGGTGGTAAGCCAGGCTCGGAGGCTCAGCGGCTGACCCGAGGAGCCGGCACCTTGCTGTGCTGTTTCAGCTGGGATTGCTCTTTTCCCTCCCCACCATGCTAGAAACCTTTTTTCCCTGGCATGTGTCAACTATCCTTAAAGGGTACAAGAAGAACCTATATTTGCCATAATACAGTCACCAAAGCAGGAAGGTCATATCCACCACCCTAAGGGGCCAAATGAGGTTTAGGGACATAATGCAATTGGCAGAAACCAAATCAAAAGTTGGCTAGGCCACAACTTTGGCAGAAACGTTCTCAGAAAAAAAAAAAAAAAAAAAAGTTGCCATGTGCTTCACCTTGGAGCCAGATAAGATACTCTGGAAATCACTTAAGGTCGTACGAAACAGAAATGCATTTCTAAAAAGACACACTTTGATACTGAAACCAGGCGCTCACTGGTTGGACTCGTAGGGGTTAAGGCTTCGGGTGAGAACATAGTGAGAGGCAATGTGTAGATCACACGTGGGCATGTCCGGCAGGCTCTCGCAGCTCAGGGCCACGGGTCAGGGCACAGGCTTCCCAGGCTAAGGCCCCCGCTCCTCCTCGCTCTGCCCCACACACCTCGGGGGCATGGGCCACCTCGCTCCCCTGGGTAGCCTGGGAGCTGCCTCCACCTGAGCAGCAGAGTGGGAAGCCAAGTCTCCCTCCGAGATGCCATGGCTATGACCACAAAGGTCTCCAGGGGGCGCTGCGGGGCGCTGCAGAAGCTTGACTCTCCCACTTCCGCTGGTGGTCAGGAATGCAGAGGGAGATCCACCCGGAGAGTTTGACCAGTCCTCGAGACGAAGGACGCCCACTGCCCCTCCCAGTCTCATGCTGCGAGGTTCTAGCACAACTAACCAGGAGAAGATTAGTTGCCATCCTGCCATCCGCCCTTAACTTCTGCAGATAGATGCCCGGGATAGGAAACATCCACCAGGCCACATAAGTAGCAAAGAACTTCCAAAAAGAAACCAGTACACACCCAAGGAAAGTGGTAGCCCTACAACGTCTCTATCTAGATACAAAATAATGAAAAGTTAATACAAAACTTTTTAAAACATGCAACTCTTCTTAAACAATGATGAATAGTTTGAATACGTAACAGGGCGGCTGAAAGAGCATCTCTGCTATGTGCCAACAGTCTGTTTCCTGGAAACGTCGTGAGGGTGGAGGGTGGCACACGATGAGAGAAGGGTGGCTTCAGGAAGCCCTGGACAGCTGGGAACGCTGGGTGGGAATTGGGGGCGGGGGGGGGAGGGGGTCATGTTTCTGTGGTCACAGCCAGCCAGAGTGCTGATGTCACTACTGCTGAGGAATCACCAATAGCCACCCAACAAAACCCACCTGATTAATAAAAAGGGGAGAGGCTAAAGGGGAAAGAGATGGAAGTCGTTTTTACGATTTTTGTGACACGATGAGAAACCTCCTTCTCTGAGTGGAGGGAGAATTGGGTGGAACTGGGAACAGAAGCTTTATGTACAAGATCAACGGAATTCCTTAAGTCTTAAAAAATTCCAAATGCAAAACTTCTGTTATCAAATCATTGAAAATAGCATATATATATCTGGCCTTACCAAAAAGAGAAAAATCTGAAAATCTGGACAAGGCAATATTTACCAGTTTCCAAATGATTAAGAAAAAAGTGTACAGAAACCAGGAAAATACACAGGGAAATATTGCCCATTTTATCCTCCTCCGCCACACCACTTTGGAAAACACTTAGGGGTTCTTGGTTTTAATATTTTTTTTGGTCTAATACATTTTACCAGTTGTCCAGAAAATCAAATCCTGTCTTCAAGACGACATTACTTGAGGTGACCTGTAGAAGAGACAAACACCAAAGTAAGACACGGGTTTCTTTCTTTCTTTTCTTTCTTTTTTTTTTTTTTTCCAGTTACGCATAATCTAAAAACAGCATCTCATTTAAATTGACCCAAATGAAATCGCTCGCTTCCATGTTGGAGGCTCCCTGACCTCAATTTGCCTCGGTGCCTGGAACCAGAAAATGAAAGAGACTTCACTGAGAGCCACACTCTGCCAGGATCCCGCGCTTTCCCCGCTCTGTCCCCGGGCAAGTCTGCAAGCAGCTCACAGAGAAAAGGAAACAAATGTATCTCTTCTATGTGTGCACCGACAGGCGTGCTGAAATGCAGTCATCACAGGAAGAGAACAAAGAACAAAGTCTTTCTGCGGCTCTCTCACACCAGCACGTGCATCCACCTGGCGCATCCACCTGGCAGGCTGCAGCCTTCGGGAAGGAGGCTCTGACGCCCCGCCCTCCACGGAGCTGGCAAAGGGCAAAAACCCTTCCGTGGAGACGATGACACCCACAGACTAAAGCAAGTTCCCTCGAAGCTGGTGAGCCAAAACAGGAAGACCCAAAGTCAGGCAAGCGGTCCTCTCTCGGCTTCTCTACGGGTTTCTTCAATGAGGCTGGCATTTCGCTCTGCTCTGCACCTGGAAATCTGTTCTCTCAGAGGAGTTCATGTGCTCTCTCCGACTGCCCACTCCCCCTACACACACTTGCCTGTGTCTCTTTACAATCAGGACTCTCACGTGATTTATGTAACAGCTTCCTTCAGAGGAAGACCCAGGTGCCAAGTAGCGGAGAAAGATCACTAGGGAGGCTCATCGGCGAGCCTGGCAGGTCTGTAAGAAGGAGCAGGTGGGCGGGAAGGTTAGAGACACAGAAGAGAGCAAAGACACGGGGCAGGGGGCCACCGAGGGCAGGACAGGGAGGCGCCAAGGACAGGCTGGAAAGCCGCGGGGCCGCTGATGGGGGGCAGATGGAGTTCCTGTCACAGGGCTCCCCTTCTTCAGGAGGACAACTCACGAGGTCATCTGCTGGGAGAGGAGTGGAAGCACCCGGAACCCCATTCCAGGAGATGCCCAGACGATGACCACAGCTCAACAACACAAAACTCAACTGTTAAAACTGGACAAGGGATCCGAACAGACATTCGTCCAAAAAAGATGTACAAGTGGTCGATAAACAACATGAAAAGACAGTCAACATCCCTAACCACTGGAGACCAGCAAATCGAAACCGCGATGAGACCTAAGGTATTGTCTCCCAGCCATCAGGATGGCTATGATCAAAGAAGAAAGAAAACCAGAGTTGGCAGGATGTGGAGAAACTGGCCCTCTTGCGCGCTGCTGAGGGAACGTAAAATGGAAACAGTATGGCGGTTCCTCAGAAAGTTAGACACAGAATCACCATGTGATGCAAACATTCCTCTGCCGGCTGCATATCCCCAAGAACGGAAAGCAGGGACCCGAACAGGTTTTTGTACAGCCTTGCTCACGGCAGCATTGGTCACAGGAGCTGAGAAGTGGAAGTCACCCACGTGGCCACCAACAGGTGGACGGATAAACGAAATGTGGTAAATCCATACAGTGGAGTATTATTATTCAGCCTCAAAAAGGAAGGCAATTCTGCCACATGCTACCAGTGGATGAACCTGAGGACATTAAGCCGAGTGAGAGAAGCCAGACATGAAAAGATGGAGACCTGCAGGATTCTACTTATATGAGATATTAAGAGCGTTAAATGCACAGAGATGACAAGTAGGATGGTGGCTGCCAGGAGTCGGGGGGGAGAACAGAGAGTTGTTTAATGGGCATAGATTTCATTTTTCAAGATGAAAGAATTCTGTGGATGGATGGTGGTGATGGTTGCATAACACTGAACGGATCTACTACCACAGGGCTGTATACTCAGTATGGAGGCACATTTTATGTTATATATATTTAACCACAACACACACTTTTTAAAATATGTGTTAAAAGGAAAAAAAAAAAAAAAAGCACAACCAGAAAGTCTGGATGGTGCTAACGTGGAGAAAACCAGCAAGACACACACAGAGGAGTGTGGGGGGTGGGCAGTACCCCTCAAGTGTGCCTGCCGGCCTTGCCAATAGGTAACTTGCCCGGGCTCCAAAACCCAGACCCAAACCTAAAGACCCCATTTTTCCTCCCTCTGGCCATCCTCTTTTGTGAGCAGGTGGCCCCTCTCCATCCCTCCTTCCCTCCCCGCCTCAGGACTCATCCCTCCCAGCCACGCAGAAAATGGCTGAATGTCAGGAAGCATTCAGGGAAGGGCCGTCCGACTCTAAGATGGACCTTGTTCACGTTCTCACCCAGGTGCAAGAGCAATCCACGATCTCCTCCAGAAATGGTGCTCTGACATGCCTGTATCCAAACTACTGCTTTCTTCATCATAAAGCAATGTCTCAAAACCAAGGCCTCCCTCTGAACTATAATGACTTTTGAGCTGGTTTATTTTGTTTTCATGCAATCCTCCAACACTGGTTCCATTTAAATTCATTACCAAACATTTTGTTTTCTTTTCACTGTCTTAGTCTCTTAAAAGCAATGCAGACCAACTGGCACAGACGATGGTCGAGGCTCCCACAAAGAAATGGGAAAGCACTCAGAAGCCACGCACCCTATTCTCCGGCACCGTCCCTTTCTTCAGGATGCATTCCTCTTCACCCAGTGAACCTTTCAGATCTTTCTTTTGCTTCCCCCCAAAAAGAACTCCTTTCTTAGGATTCCTCCCAGACACGTAACGCTATCCTGTTTGGAAACGAGTAGCTGCCAATCACTCCTTGAAGCCAGAGTCTCCTGTGGTCCCTGAGAACGAGCATGGCCGCTCCTGGAGGAGGCTCGGCGGTCCCGCCTGCTTCCTTCCTCCCCAACACCCCAGCCCGAATTTACGGACCTATCGGTTGAGTGGGCCCCCAAATCCCTCCCAAACTGACTGCCCTCTCCCTGCGAGTTCCTGCGCTCACTGCCCCGCTACCGGCCCTCGCTTACCTGCCCTCACACACCTGGGGAAGGGCAGCGGGCATCTGCGACATCTACGTGTAACAGGCAAACAAATCATGGCACTGAGACAGAACCATGAGACGTTTCTCCTTGCACATGTGTCAGTCGCTGAGCTGGGGAGCAACCCAGCTCTCCTGATCTCCAAAGTCCCCCCAAGGAATGGGCAAGAGAAAGAAGGGGAAGGAGAAGAAGAAAGCGAGGGCATCCGTGGACCACCCATCTTGTGGGAGGTCTCCCCGGGTCACTCCTGGAGGGAGGGGCCACCCACCTGTGTCGGCATGGGTTCCGAGAACAGAGGGTCCTCCACATCCTCCACATCCTCCTGCTGGTCCTCAGGAGAGGGCAGCTTCCCCACGGGCTCGGACGGGGTGGCTTCCTTCACCGTGCTGGTGCAGGCCTGGACAGGCTGGGGTCTCTCGTGCTCGACGCTGACGCAGGGAAGGGCACGCTGCTCCTGGCGGAGGGTGCTGGGCCTTTCCACCTTGGCCTCCCTGTCCTTCAGGGCAGGGTCCTGCCGATAACAGGCGGGCAGGACCTTTTCACCTTTCTCCATGGACTTGATCTGGCTGGGGGTCAGCGACTGGAACTCAGCCTCGGGCCCCTCTCCCCGGGACCGCTCTGCATTGATCTTCCAGAAGGAAGCTTCCTCTTCCTTCCGAGCAGGACCCAGGGCGTCGAGGCTGGAGGACTTGCTGCCCTGGGAGGGCCGGAGGGCCTGTGAGCCCTGGGAGGCTTTCGACAGCTGTCTCGGCTCGCTGGCCATGCCGCTGCCTGGCTCTTGGATGGATAAAGAACAGACACTGAACTCCATCTGACTCTACAGCAGGGACACAGAGGAGAAAAGAAGAAGCCTTACAATCCACCGCAACGGGCGTGCAGGTCACACCTCCGCCCGCCTGACAGTGGTAACACCGGCTGTCATCCATTTGCTGCAACTTTCTGTCCTGAGGGCTTATCTTCAGGACGGCGGTCCACGCACCCACCACAGCAGAAGCTCGGACACGAAGGCCCTGCCACACTCCAGGCCACCAACAGTGCAGAGACGCGGACTCGCTGAGGACTCTGGCCTCTGCCTGGTAAGCAGAGCACCCACCTGTCTCCTCAAGAGTGAATCCAGCACCTTCCGGAGAAGGGGCTGTCTGGCGGTGACCACCCTCCCTGGAAGGTGATGAAGAAGGTGCACGGCTCCGCACAACACCGCCCTGCAGTGAGGGTCGGCACCCAGCCCCAGCACCCAGGCCCATCGCTCCCCACCTACGGCGGCGGGTGGTGGACAAGGGTGAATGAAGCCAACGGAGCCAGAGCCTGTTTCCTGGACTAAACAGCCATGGAGACCCGACCTACCCACCCACCCCTGCCGGACACACCATCTTCACAGCTGCGTGTCTGTGTGCCCCTCGAATTCACACGTGGAAGCCCTACCTCCCGGAGTGATGTACGAGGAGGTGGGGCCTCTGGGAGGGGTCAGGTCATGACAGTGGGGCCACCAAGATGGGACTAGTGTCCTCATGAGAGACACAGGAGCAATGATCTCTCTCCCACCATCCAAGAACACGGTCAGCGGGAGGCCGCCTGCAGCCGGGAACCGCAGCACCCTGACTTTCCAGCCTGCACAACTGTGAGAAATGAATGTGTGTTGTTTAACCCCCCAGTCTGTGGTCTTTGTTACGGCAGCACAGGCTGAGCAAGACACTGTGTCATGCGGAGGGGTACTCGGGGGAGACAACGCTCCCACTCAGTAGTGCTCGGCACCTCTGACCTTGACCCCAGTCCCAAAGCCCAGATGCCGTCCCCCACGGGAGACCGCAGGCTCCAAGGCCAGCGCAGGACCCACACCACGCCCGAGTGTCCCAGAAATGCTTTGCTCGATCTCAGGCTGCTCAGCGCGGCGACCTCCAAGAAGGCCAGCGCTGTGCTGTGCCGGAGGACACATCGGGACAGGGAAGGACACCTCGGTCCCTGCTCCAGTGCAGAGCACGCTGGGGGATGCCGTCTCCCAGGCTCTGCACGGCAAGCGATGCGTGGCTGCAACCACTTCTACCACCCCTCTTGAACGTTCCTCTCCTACCTCTCCCTCAGACCCCCTTCTTCTTCTTCTTTTTTAAAGAAAAGTAATAAAACTACAATACAGAGAGTTTGGGAATTAGAAAAGAAGTCATTCATTAGCTTTCCTTCTTCCGTAACCACTACCTTTGTATTTTTGTGTCGCTGTTTTCATACACATATTTTACGAGGTTGCGATTCTGTTAGGCATATAATTTGGAGTAATGCTGGGGGGCCTCGGTGGTGTAGTTGGTCGAGCATCCGACCCTTGATTTCGGCTCAGGTCACAGGTCACGATGCTAGGGATCCAGGCCTGTGTCGGGCTCCACACTGAGCATGGAGTCTGCTCAAGATTCTCTCTCTCCCTCTGCCCCTCCCGCCCCCTTCTCCCCTCTCTCTCTAAAGAACCAAATAAATCAGTAAATAATTTGGGGTATTGTTTTTTTCACTTAGTCCTAAGCACCATCCATGGTGTTACATGGTCTTTAGAACAATCACCTGTCCTGGGTACAAGCTAGTTCATCGAGGAGCTGTCCCACCAGCTCCTTAACCCATCATCTTCCTAACAAATAATCGGCTGTTTCTACTCTGTGCTGTTCTAATTAAGGCTGCCGCCACCGTCTTCCTGCATACAGCTCTTCCCTGTGTGGAACTAATTTCTTCAGGTATCTTTCCAGAAGTGAAATGTCAAAATGCAAAGTTTAAAACCTTTCCTTTTTTATGGTTCTAGATGCATACTAGCCGATCTGTTCTCCAGAGCTGCCCCATTTTCTACCACCACCAGCGATAGAGCAGAGTGTATTTTCAGTTACTGTTTCAAAAACTGTGCTAACTTAATATACAAAACATGGTTCTTTATGACTTTAATGCATATTCCTTCACTCCGTTTTACACAGAGCGCTTGCCCAGACTCACCGATGGGCAAAGACGTGTTTGTTAGGGGAGGATGAAAACATGGCTTTTCCCGAGCAAACTGCAGGCCCTGAACCCAGAGAGCGGGACGTGCTCTCAGCCTGAGACTTCTCCTAAAGCCTGGACCCTGACGGCCGGAGGTCTCTCCTCAAGGCTCAGAAGACAGGATGGGATGGGAGCACGAGACACTAAGTTCAAATCCTGGGCACAGTCTGCTCGCTGTTGTAAAGACAACACCAGGGAGAAGACATCATAGGTCCGTCTCCGCGGACCGTGGCATCCTGAGTGCATCTCACGCATCGGGCACTTTCCCTTGCTGCTGGGCCGGGTTTTATAGAAAAATGTTCGCTCTTACAAATGAGGAAATGGAGATCTGGAGCAATCCGAGCAAACTGTCCTAGGTCACTAGCCCATTAGATGCAGCTGGATTTCCACTAGATCCAGTGATTCCAGGCCTGAAGCTGTGCTGGGCATCAGGCCACGTATAAAAACCACTGGCCACCACGGACGACATCCACATAAACACCAGAACATCCTGTACATGGCAGGATTTGGGTAAGTACGTTAATGATCTGATTTGATTTTTAAAGGGCTGTTTCTGAATGAGCCACTCTCCGTACTCTGTATATTTCCAGATTCCACAACAGAACACAAGGGGATCGCGGGCATAAGAGATGATGCTTTCTTTAAATAAGCAAGTTGCTAAAGATACCACGGAAGTGGAGACCAAGGCTTAGAACGGAGCTGACTTTGATCTGGAAATTGCAATGTAAGGAAGGCACTTAAAACTGAGCACTTTGTCAAGCCCCAGCTTTTTTAGGATCAGCAATTTCTCCAGTGGGATCTCTGCTCAGAAGCCTCTGGAAGGCCAGGCTGAGCACTTGTGGACGTGGAGGGCAGCCATGGACTGAGCCAGGGGTGCTGCGGAGAGGAGGCGGTCCCAGTGGTTTCCAGGCTGCTTTGGGCCATCGCTGGCAGGGCCCCCAAGCAGCAGTGGCCGGACGCGACAGCCCTGAACAGACTGAAACCACAGAGGCTGTGCCGCGGCTCCTTGGGCAATCGGAGGCCATGTGGCACTCCTCAGGGGACAGTGTCGTCTGGTCAGAAGAGATGGCTATGCTGACATTAGCGGCTGCTTGGTTTAGGGGTTTTGGGGCGAAATGGGGAAAACAACATAGAGGAAAAAAAACTTCTAGCACATTTGCTTCCAAGCCTTTTTTCCCGGGTATACACTGTTTTTAGTTTTGCAAAGAAAACAGGACTACATTCTCCTTCTAAAAAACAGTCCTCCCTGATCAACGGCCCTGGGGCTGGGTCTTCACCCAGCGGGAAAAAGGTTCCTTGTTTATATTCCAAACCCACATCTGTTGGGAAGGGGCAGGGCGGAAAAGAGGAAAGGAGCAAAGGGTCTCCCCCCGCCTCCCGCCAGTCCAGACCTCATCTCACTTGACTCCAAAACTCCAGGGACTCCGGCGAGACTGGAGCGGATCGGGGTGTAGGGGAGAACACGGCCGTTCCTCCCAGGACCGGGTCCCCCTCCGGGGTTGCTCATCCTGCCCTGGGGCTTAGTTGCCAATGGGGCTCCGAGACAGAGGGAACAATGCTTCTGGACTCCAAAGTCGTGCTGTGGCCGGACACCCAACCAAGACGCTGACGGGCACTGCCCACCCCCCCACCCCCATCCTAAAGCGGTCACCTGCCCTCCAACCTGCTCCTCCTCAGGACACGCCAAAACCACCCGCCAGCTCCCTAACCCTGAACCCGGGCTTTTTTCTTTATCGGTAAAAAGGGGAAAATCACCATCCTTGCCTTGCTAGACTGCCAGGGAGATTAAACAAGCAGATGCCCGTGAGGGTTTGCATCTTAGACGAGCACCTGGTGCACAGTAAGTGCTCAGTAAACACAAGCTCCTTTGCCCTTCTCAGTCCTGCGTGGGGCGTCAGCAATAGTCCCAGTGGGTCCCCTCCGGGCTCTGGATCCTCTCACGCCTTCCTCTGGTCGCCAGGGGCACGGGCTGTGGTGCCTGTTGCCCAGAGCTGCAGGTAGCGTCTATGCTGGAATAGCAGAGCCGGGGTGAATGCTGCTTGGGAGCCCCCATGTTGAGTGCCCAGTGTCAGGCCACGGAGTCGGGGCTGCAAAGCTCCCTACAAGTATTATGGCCAAGCCCCTGTCCCGTCCCACGGTTCTGGGACTGTGGAGACTCCGTCCCCCTGGCCAGCCACCATGTCCGTGAAGGTCACGCCACACCAGAGGCCCTGAGAGACGGGTGTGAGGGGTGTCCTTCTGACTCTGGGAGAGATCAGTGAGCGGGGATGGGGACAGCCCTGCCTCACGAACCGACAGGTCTAGTGGGGGGCCACTTCTGGACCCTGCAATGAGCACTGCAAAGTGAAAAGACAATGGAGGTCCAGATCCCGTTTTCTCCTTTCTAGAAAAAAGGCTGAAAGCGCTCTTGGGAAGGGAGGTGGTGCCAGCCCCATCCCCCGGCGCTGAGCGACACTGAGCTGGGGCCCAGCAGAAGGGCGCTGTGTGTGAAGGGCCGCGGAGGGCTCAGACAGGAAGTCGGGGTGGGGGAATCCGACTCCGCAGTCTCACACAATCCTTGAGACGGGGACGTGGGGGAGTCATGGCGACAGCCCACCCCAGCGTCCCCGGCACCAGCCAAAGCCCTGGGGCGGACGCGCCAAGCGGGGACTGGGCGTCAGTCACCCCGTGTGGGGAACTGGGTCTCAGCTGGCCACGTCCGTTCTAAAAACAGAAAGACCACAACCGAGCCCAGTATCTATTTTTACACCCCACTCACTGGACAGGAATGTGTAATATTTCAGTAAAGGGGGAGTGCAGGCCGCCAAAACTAACTGT